TGGTTTTGTCTGTCTACCTACCTTATTAGTTCCTGGCATTTAGGTAAAGTCTGAGAGAAAAGACAGTGTCACATACGTAATTACAATGGGAGTTCCCTGATGCGTTAGATCTGGGTTCAGTTTAGGGTTGCAGGGTGCTAGAGTCAGAGTCTGCAGATTAGATTGGAATCTAGGTCCTGGGATAATGTTCCCTGTTCAAGAGCAAGGGTCAATGGATAGAAATGGAACATAAGTGTCAGGAGTTAAGAGTCAGATGTTAGCAGACAGATTAAAGAGTTTTTTGTTTAGAATGTCCTTCCTAACAGGTTATGTTTGGAGTTGCTTAGGGCCTATGTATTATGGTATAAAGATGTAGACTTATGATTTAAACAGTACAGTTTTGAAAGTTGGTTTCTGAATTTGAGACTTGCAAGTTGTGCTCCTGATTTCTAAAAATTGGGATAAATGAATTAGGCTAATTTTTGAAAAAATTGGTTGTGGGTATCAGGGAATGCTCAGGGTGTTAAGAGCCATTCTGGATGGTAAGGGGCTTTTCAGGTAGTTAGTGGTTCAGTGTTTGAGGAAATGATCAGTGTGTTGTAAGCATGTTAAGCTGTAAGGGTTAATAGTTTGGGAGATGTTGTTTAGCAATTAATGGTTTGTGAATTAAGTACCAAAAGTTATTTTTGTGTATTGAAATGTAGACAACAATGTTTTTATATTTGTTACCTATTTATGTCATATCTACCTCGATATGATTATTAATCTATGATTAGAAAAGTTTTAATTTCTCTTTGGAAGCCTCTTTCCTTCCTTAAAAAAAACTTATTCTGATTGCTGCAGTTTTACTATACAGTCAGTATTTAATATCACTGGTGAAAGTGGATGTGTCTGTACTTTCTCTGAGCTGGGCTGATGCTGTTTCTCCTTCCTCTAAGACATTTCTCATTCCTCTGATGACATTTTGACCTTTTAGTCCCCCCTTCGGAATGTTTATTAGCATATTAACATTGAACTATATCTGTTTTATTTTAGATTTGTAGAGGGTTCTTTTCTTAACATTAAAAGCCTTTGAATTTGTTTAGTATGTTTTGTGTGTCTATTTAGATAATTCTTTTTTTTTACATTAATTGCTATATTACAGTGCTTATTTTTCTTATGTTAAATCAACTCTAGGACAGATTTCATTTAATCGTGGTATATAATTATTTTAATGTGTTGTCTGACTCAGTTTCCAATATATATATATTTTTAATAATCATTTTATTAGGGGCTCATACAACTCATCACAATCTGTACATACGTCATCTGTCCCCAGCACTTTAGTACATATGTTGACTTCATCATTCTTACGACACCCACTTTCCACTTGAGCCCCTGGTTTCAGTTCATTTTTCCCTCTCCCTCCC